CAAGCGGCCATCAGAGCACCAATGATTGGTCGTTAGGCTGATGGTCCTCCTTGATCATGTGAGCAGCTGGTTCTGGATCTCAACAACGACCTGGTTGATCCACCATGAGAAGGTGCTATTTATAAGACGGAGTTTGTTGCAGCTCCTCAGACTGAAGAAGTCTTTACGGAGCTCAGGTGCCTAAAAGCTGCAGTCGTCATCAGCACTGGATCAGGAACAGGTGAGACCAGGTACCTAACAGGTGAGAGAGGTTGGCTCCGCCCTGCAACTCAAGCTGTAACATCAGTGTTCGCAGCAGAATGCAGCTGCACATCAAAATAGAAGTTGGTAATTGTTCTAGTAATCATGCTCACAACGTGCACGGACAGACGGGGGTCCCCTCTTCTCTCTGTGACGAGGGACAAACTCATCAGCAGCCTTTGCCCTCCATGAGACGTCCAAGATGTCCACATGTCATTCTTCATGGGGACAAAAGAAGGTAAGAACTGTTTGCTGGATGATTATATTTAAAGAATAGATCTCGTGGACTGAAAAGTCTAACGTCTTTCTCTGAAATGTATCGAGAGAATTCCTGACTTGAACATCTCAGCTGTGAAGTGCACCGAGGCAGAAAGCTGTTTTTCTGCCTCTCTGTTAATTCGTTTAGCCAAGAATCGTGGCATCACCATTTTGTTTGTGCTGACATGATGAGAGCAGACAGGTTTACTTAAAGCAGAGAGAGAGATGGAGGGAGGAGGAGCGTCGCTCCGGCTCCGGTGGAGAGGAGGAGGCTGATGCTGATGCTGGTCCTCTCTGTCACACCAAGCGGATCACATCCAGACAGAACTAGAAGAACACCTCATCATCTCCACGGCTCAGGTAAGACCATCTAGAATCATTCTGTTAGTTGAAACCACTGCAGTCGTACTAAAAGCTCTGGGTTCTTCATCTTTTCACTTTTTATTCTAAAATATAACAACGGCTGCCTAAATGTTTTACTTTGAACTCTTATCAAAATGCTAACCAGTTTAAACTGGGGAGATTCCTGTGAAAATGCAGAGCGAGCGCTGAAACCAGCTGAAGAAGTTCCATCAGTAAACTGAGAATTGATTTAGAACAGCTGAGGTTTGCTGAAAGCAGCAGGGAACGGTAGAAATGTGTAGAAAAATAAAAATGTAGCCGAACAAGAAGAAATGTGCAGAGAGGCTGGAGGAGAAAAACCTGAAGTAAAAACTGAACGGAGCAAAAATGATCTGAAAGATGTGCTGAAGTTAGAGAGGCATCCATCCATACATCCACCCACTCATCCATCCACCCACTCATCCATCCACTCATCCATCCACTCATCCATCCACTCATCCATCCACTCATCCACCCACTCATCCATCCACTCATCCATCCATACATACATCCATCCACTCATCCATCCATACATACATCCACCC